AATAAGAAGAAAAACAGAAAACAACAGCGAAGAAAAAGAAGCATGTTCCATCTACCTCCTTCGGCTTGCAATCTCCCTCTAGCATCCCCCACTGATGGAGTTTAACCAACTGACAAATCAGAAACATGACTTGTAGATACTCAGTCCAGTATCAAAAAGCAAAATATAGAACAATGGGTTTGAAGCCAAGAGATGATAGTTTAATAACCAGCCCAACCAATCTAGGACAAATCTTTACCTTTTTGAGACAGAGTTTGTCAAATTAGAACACTAATGTCTACCACAAGATGTCTTGAGAATTAGACAAAACGTATAAAAAGCACCTCACATAGTGCTTGACAAATAAAATGCATTATTTCACAATTAATGATTTCCGATCCTGATTCATCCTCCCAAGTACATCTGCCATCCCCAGTGCCTTCCTTAAACAACTACTCTGTAGAACTCCATATGTGGCCTAATCTATTGCCAGAATATATCTCAGCAGGAAAAATCTATTTATAAGGCCTCAACCAACAGGGAGCTCTTTTAAGTCAGGGACCATATTTGGCTCTTACATTTTCACTTCCACTCCTCTTTGTCAACCTGAAAATCTGGCAAAAAAAAAAAAAAAGAAAAAAATATATATATATATTTTATCATCATCTTCAAGGCCTCCATTTATATTTATATATATATATATGTATATGTATATATATGACCTACATACTTCCTTGTCCTTGCCACCATCAATCCAATAGGCCAGCTTTCCATTAAGACACTTCAAGAACAGTTCTAGAAAGATTTCAAACTTGATCCAACTTCCTTCACTCTAAAGAACAGTCTTCATTCAATACCTTGTGTCCTAAGAGGATCGCATGCCCAAAAATCAAACACAGGAACCCACTACCATTTTTCTAATGTTCTCAAATCAGCAGCAGCATTCCAGACAACAGAGACCTTAAGACTAGGAAAGAGAGCTATTGAAGGTAGAGCAGTATCTGATGCTTTATGGCACATTTTAGAGGCAAAATCCACCATATCCATGAATGTCCCATAGAAACCAACTCCCACATAAAAGCAAAATATAGCTCTTCTGCTATTTTGCCTGAAATCATAGGTTCTTAATAGTTCATTCCCTTCCTGATCCAAGGTTCATGTGGTTCTACCTTTATTAATTATAAGACCTTGGGAAATTTTCTTCAACCTCTAAGCCTCATTTAATTAAAATAGTATTCCTAACATTATCTCACAGGTTTGTTGTAAGACTTAGATAAAACAATACATGCCCAAGCAAGACAGGAAACAGTACTTGTTTAGTGGGTACATAGTTTCAGTTCTGCAAGTTGAAAAGTTTTGGAAATCTCTTGCACAGCAATGTAAATATATGAACTATACATTTAAAATGGTTACGGTGGTAAATTTTATGTTCTGTGTTTTTTACCACAATTTTTAAAAATGTTTATTGAATTAATGTATGAATAAAAAGTTCCTATCAGATGCACAGGTGCGCACACACACACACACACAGAATACACATTCATCACTCATCACAATGCCTGGCACATCGTAAGCACTCAAGTATCTATAAGGTTCTGTCTCTTTCCTCTTTGAGCCTCCCAACATTCTCTTTGACTTCAACCTCACCTGCATGAATTTCTAATTTCTCTCCCTCTGAACACTATGTAGGCTTCATCACATTCTGTCCAGTGCTGTTCCTTAACAGTTCAGTGTGGGCATGCTTTATCTTGCCAAGTAGATTGTCAGCTCCTGCAGAGAAGGGACCATCTTATATTTCTTCCATATTCCCCTTCATGTCCAATGCAATCTTTGCATTAACTGTTGGCTGAGATTCTACTTCAAATGAGATGGACCTTCCCAGAGCCAGAACATTCCAGTTACTCCTGCCTGCTCTTGGGCTTCCACTCATCATCATCAATCAACATTTATTTATTGATCTGTTAGTTTATATTTGGAAAAGGGGATAAGAGCAAAGGATAGGGAAATAGGAAGAAAATAAAAAGATATATAAGACATGATTATCGTCCTCAAAAGGCTTACAATCTATTTGCACAAAGCAAATATAACAATGTTGGTAAAACTGCAAGGAAAAATGCTAAATGTCCACTGAGTATTAACAGACGATACAGGAATTCAGCAAGCCATGGGTACTTCAAAGGAAATTCAACAGGAGATCAGTTTAAGAAAAACTTAAGTACGAGAGTATATATTCTTTAGAATTAAGATGATTCTTCAAGGGGTAAAAAGTGTATCTGCCTACTAACTCTAACTTTGAGATAAAATTATTATATATTTTCAGGGTAATAACAATAGTAACAACAATTTTCATATACTCCAGTAGACTACATACTATCACTAATCCTAAAAGTGAGGGGTGCATCATCCCTATTTATACATAAAGAAACAGTTACTTGCCTGTAGATGTAGAGATAGTAAGTACTGGATTTGAACACATCTGTCTGACTCCAAAGCATGAATTCTTCCCACTATACAATTCATTCATTCATCAAACATTTATTAAGAATTTACTCTGGACAAGCATTATGCTAAAGACATTAAACTGAATAAAATATGATTTCTTCCTTCAAGGGGCTCATGGTCTGATGAGAAGGCAGTTACATAAAGATACCATCCATACAAAATGTGCTGAGTCTAAGAACAGAGATATGCAAGAAGTTATGGAGCATGTAGGAAGGAAACCTAATCCATCCTGGGAAATCTTCAAAGGTTTCCTGGAGGAGGAGAATTCTTTGTTAAGTCTTAAGGGATAAAATAAATAATAATAGCTTACATTTGTGTACTTACTAGGCAGAGACTATTATTAGCCCTAATTTACAGATGAGAAAATTGAGGCACAGAGAGGTGAGCAACTTGCCCAAGCTTCAGTAGTTTATAAATGGGTGTTAGAAACAGGTTATGTATCTGTTCTCTCTTAATCTCTACAATATCCTGCACATGAGTAGGAGTTTGCCAGAAAAGTGAAGAAGAGCAAGGCAAAGGCAAGAAACTGCACTAAATGGCACAATATAAAAAGTATAATATGGCTGGAGCAAGAAATAACAAGAAAGGAAATTAGAGAATTATGGGTCAGATCACAAAAGACCTTGTGTAACATGTAAAGTATCTTAGAATTTATCCTATAAACTATGGAGGGATATTGAAGATTTGTACATTAATAAATTATTATGTCAGCTATTTGAAGGATGAATGTGAGTTAAGATTAATGGGAAGGGGATCCATTAGAAGACAGTTGTTACTGTTGTAAAAAAAAATAAAAAATAAAACATAATGTACATTTACCCTCCAAACAATTTTTAAATGTTCAGTACACCAAGAGGACAGATTTAATATGCAGCAAAGAGAAGAAGAGAACCTAAACTTGAATAAAGAGAGCAAGATGGAAAACTTGGAAATAAGACATGTCTAGATGGCAAAAGAGGTGGAACTTGGTGATGAACTGGATGTGCCTATCTCCCTACCCATCAGGCTTTCCTATTTTAAATAATCTATCCGGGAAAATAGAAAATATAAATGTATATGTTTGTCATTTTGGAATTGGCTAGACATAGTGCTAGGCACAGGAGCAATAGGAATGAATAAGACATGCTACCCATCCCAGAAAGGCCTACAGTCTGGAGTAGAAGTAGAGAAGAGCAGTGCAATAAAGGATTATGTGGTTATAAAAGAAATAGGTACATTTACTGGGGATTCAAAGCTGAAGCAGTTAGCCCTAACCAGGGGAGATCAGAGAAGAGTTGAAGGAGGATATGCCTCAAATTGAATCTGAACAGACACTTTCCAGTGGATCACTTGAGGTGAATATTTCTCCAGTGGAGAGTAGCAGGAATACAGCAGAACAAATAGTTTCAGTGTGAAGAAGGTGGGGAGGGGGGGCAAGATAAATATGTGGACTCCTGAAGGCATCAAAAGTAGAGCAGGAATTTATTAGCTACAGGTTCCTCCATTAAAACACCTAAGCACAAGAAGGAAATTGGGGTCACAGAAGGATGAAGGTGGGAGACAAGATAGTGATCTGCAATAAAACTACAAGAAGCGCTCTGGTTTTATTGCGCTCTCTATGGCCACATCATCACACTCCACCTAGCCCCACCTGAGCTACAGAGTCAGTGCTCATTATGCTTAGAAAAGTGTATTAGTGTATTAGAAGTCTAATAATTCTACCCTAACCTCTAGCATTTCCTATAATTGTAGGATGTCATCTTGAGGTTCACAGTTAGGGGTCTGTACATCAGGCACTACCCACTGCTCTTCTAAAGGATTTTAAATTACCTCATAATATCTTATGTTTGGAAGCTTCACTGCCTCAATCACAAGTATTGATCTTTGTGAGCAAAAGTAACTTTTTTTGACCAATGTGTTTATACAGACATTATTTTTTTTCCAAATTGTAATGCCTAATGCCTAAAGGACAATATTATTTATAAATACAAACTCTCAGACTTGAAAAAGAACACCTTTATTTATCCTGTTTATTATACAACATCTATGCAAAAACTTCTAAATTTAAGAATCTTCCTGGAAATTCGGGAATTTCCGAATTTCTACTGCTGTCCCTAACAATCAATTAAGAAAAAGGGAAATTCCGTTACTAAGACTGATCACAGACTTTCTAGATTATTAAATGTACTGTCTTCAATACAGCAGCATGGGCTATAAATCAAGTTCTTTGATTCTGAATAATCTCAAAATTCTTTATAAGAAGGCTTAAAAGTATTTTTCATTAAGAAAAATAAAATTATTTAGTGGAAAAAATATTTAATAAAGTCATTTTAATTATATGTACACATTAATCATGAAATTGTACAGAATAATTGCAGTGACATTTCTCTACTTATTGTAATTAAACGTGTAGTAAAAATAGAGCATAAACAGATAAAATATGCAAGTCAGTATTATTTGGGGTAGTATTAAGATTATTTAGTAAAGATTGTATCTCCCAGGATAAAATAATAGGTTCTCATTATATGAAGACAACTTACTTGGAATGGGGAACCAAAAACTCTTCTCTCTCACCATCAACCATGCCACGTCCAAACCCCACATCCGGAAGTATAGAAATCTCTGATCACATACCAGACTGGAGAGAGAACTTTCACATATTCAATACCTGCAATAAAATAAACTGGGGTTATGACATCAGAAGACAGTGGGCTAAGAGCTAAAGTAAGTCCTGCCTTTTCAAACATAATAGCATGTTTATTCATCCCATTGTACCTCCCCAGTTGCCCAGACAGAAAGTGTCTGAAGTTTCAACTGGGAAATATGACTCACTTAAACTTTTTGAGTAGCTTATGAGGGTTTAACAATGCTTGTGGATTGCTACCTGTGTCTTAGGTGTGGGGGTAGTGGTCAAGATGGAATGAGGCAAAAGAGCTTGATAAAATGGTTCTATAGCAGTTATATATTAAAATGAAAATGTATGTATCATAAACCTTTACACAAACATTTTAGCATATGGTGCATATATTCCAAGTAATGAAAATGCAAAAGAAAAGGACCCTAGTACCATTCGACCAGCTTCAACACTGAAAAAAATACAAGTTAATGGAAGAGAAATTAATGATCTCATAAATGTTTCAAGAGTGAAAATACCGCTTTCTCCTCAACATAGAAAGAAGCAATTTCTGGTAATAAATTCTACCAGGTATTTTGTGGTAGTGCTATTTCTATTGCTTTTAAAAATGTATTTTTAATTGTCCTACAGATTTCCTTAAGCATACGAAAAGAAATCAGAGACTCCACTTGTCATAGAAAACCCTCAAAATAGGCAATACTGTTTCCATTGCTAAAAGGATTTGAAATATATACCAGCATACCTTACAAGTCAACTGTTCCCTACAATGTCTTCTCACCGAACTGAGGTGTTTTCACAAAGCAACAGGATTCAAAAGAAATAGAAGTAGGATGGCTTTTGAAGTAAAGCATAGCTACGGAGAAACTCCCTCTCTCTGTGTGTCATGCAGGCTGATTGCTACTTGTAGCAATGATAACACTAATATAATGGCTGCACCCATTTAATGTTATTTAAGTACCTCCAACTGACATGTTGGAATAAGGCTTTTTTTTTTCCTTGTAAATTCTAATTAGGTCCCTTCCTTCTTTCCTTTCTCCATCACGCTCTTCCTTTCTCCATCTCTCCATCTTTTCTTTTGCCCAATAGTAAAAAATGGGTACTAGTAGGTCTACATGTACCTCAGTCCCTACCTCACGCTACAGTAGAATACCAACAGATTATTACATAGGGTAAACTTGTCACCTCTCCACCCCATTTACCCCCAGCAAGAAAAAATTCTATTTCTTATCTATCTCGGTGCCTACATCAAAAATTTAGGCAAGTCACCTTTGCTTGTCATCCTCGCACATCCAGTAACTTGCCAAAACCCAACATTCTTGCTAAAAGCCTCTCAAATCTGTTCACTCCCCATCATTTCCCTGTACCTGCAAAATCTAGGCCCCCACAATTTCTTCCTTGTCTCCTCAGTGGTCTTCATACCTCCATTATAGGCCCTTCCAACTGCTCTCCACACTGCAACTAGATTAATCAATCTAAAATACAAATCTGGTGAAGATACTCATCTGCTTAAGTCACTTCAGTGGCTCCCCATGTTCTTAGCATAAAGTCATAGGCTAACAATACGGTTTTTTTTTTTTTATTTTATTATGTTATGTTAGTCACCATACATCATTTTTGATGTAGTGATCCACGATCCATTGTTTTCGTACAACACCCTGTGCTCCATGCAGTACATGAGCTCCTTAATACCCATCACCAGGCTAACTCATCCCCCCATCCCCCTCCCCTCTAAAACCCTGTTTGTTTCTCCGAGTCCTTTTATAATGATGTCTCTGCTTATCTCTTAACCTCCCTTCTCATTACTGACTCTTACAAAAATTGCCTGTGTTTTAGCTATCATGAACCACAGACAAGTTCTGAGGCCTTTGCACCCATTGCCCCTCTTACTAGAAAACCCTCTCTGCCTTTAACATGACTGATTCTTAATCAATTTAAAGGATTCATCTCAAATGTTAGTTCCTCCAGGACACTTTCTATCCTACCCGCTTGATGTTCCCACAGTGGGTGTTCACTTTTAGCTTCCCCCAAATGTCAGTATTTGTTGAAAAAAATGAAAAAATTCAAGTCATTTCATTGCACACCTGGTTTGACTGTAGCATGTGTGTATAAAGATCCAAGATAGCTAACAGTGAATGAAGTTCCTCAACTTTGCATCCCATATTCAAATGTTTAGACATACATAACACCCAGACCACTTTAACTCTAAACTATTCAAGGCTGACAAACACTCTGATATTATCAAATCCAAGTTCTATAAATATAAAAATACATGGTTTTCTAGAAAACCAAGGCTTGAATTTGCTAGGAGATCTCTCTAGTTTTAATATAAAAGTCAACCTTTATTGTTCCAGGATCATCCAGTGACACATAATTGTCTGAAAGCTGATCAACTGCTTCCTTCTCACAGTAGTTAGGAACTGCCCGGTTAATAGCGGCTAGAGAATCACCCAGCTCTAACACACTTAATGTTATCCAAATCTAAACAAGTGTGATAACTAGAAGCAAATTCAATCAAAAGAAACATTATCACTTTCTCAATGATTAACATGAAACCAGTTATCTAGCAAAAAAAGTTAGACCTTATTTTAGAACAATAAGAAATTTTAGACCTCATTTGAGGTGACTCAAAACTTAGAAGTTCAAAACTTTAAAGCTTAATTCTGTGATAAGCCAGCTGGCATCAAGATAAACTATTTGTCCAATTTACAAGAATCTCTTGGATAAGAAATCTAAGATTCAACTCTCAAACACAATATCTAAGCTTTAGTTTTGAGTGTGATGGGTGGATAAGGGGGTAATGTGTGAATATTCTCTGCTTGCTCTCAAGGTTAATAGGCAACAAGTCTGGTAAGCACAGTTTCAACTAATCTTGCCAGGAGCAGAAGCCATAATCCACAAAGATTCACCTTCCCTGCCAAGCTGCTATTCTATATTCTGTATGGTTGAGTGTATAATACTGTGCTACCTTATCAAGCACGGTTGGTACTGGATGCTCCACCCAGACTCCCTTCTGAGGGTTAAAGCATCCTTCCCCCAAGTGACAGAAATATCGTCTTTTGACAGCTCACAATTATGTCCCTCACAAAGAAATGTCCTTGACCACAGGGAACTTTCTCACTTAAGATTAAGGCCCCTCCCAGGAGAGAGCCAACAGTCAATGGCCAATTCATACTCAGGAACAAAGTCTCTCATGCTTCAATTTGGAACAACTCTAAAGGGACATCCCAGCTCCAAAGCTCCCTACAAGCTCCACTGATGCCTCAGTTCCACTGCAGGTCAGCTTCTCCCTCTTTGCAGTCCTACTTTTCTCATTTCCTTACAGGTGCATTGCTAGAGATCACTTCTCAAAAAACCTCCTACATGCAACTCTTCATCTCAGAATCTATTTCCAAGGCAACCTAATCTAAGACTCAAGTCAATAATTGTGTAATGCAAAAAATAGCAACATACAATAAATTTGCTGACTTCATCATAACTTTGTCCTGGTCTTCTATTAAAGATGTGAACCTATTGGGACGCCTGGGTGGCTCAGTCAGTTAAGCGTCTGCCTTTGGCTCAGGTCATGATCCCAGGGTCCTGGGATCGAGTTCCGCATCGGGCTCCCTGCTCTGCGGGGAGCCTGCTTTTTCCTCTGCCTCTGCATTTCCTTCTCTCTCATGAATAAATAAAATCTTAAAAAAAAAAAAAAGATATGAACCTATTAATTGAGGCAAAGGCAAGATCTAGAACTTAATTTATCCCAGCTGACTCCAGTTCCCTTTTTTTAATTTAAATTTTAGTTAACATATAGCACAATATTGGTTTCTAGAGTAGAATTCAGTGATCACCTACATCACCTACATACAATATCCAGTGCTCATCACAACAGGTACCCTCTTTAATACCCATCACACATCTAGCCCATTCCCCACCCTCTTTCCTCCATCAACTCTCAGTTTATGCTCTATCATTAAGAGTCTCTTATGGTTTCCTTCTCTCCTTTTTTTCCTTTCCCCTCTTTCCATATGTTCACCTGTTTTCTTTCTTAAATTCCACACATGAGTGAAATTATATGGTATATTTCTTTCTCTGACTGACTTATTTAACTTAGCAGAATATACTCTAGCTCTCCATTCACATCATTGCAAATGGCAAGATTTCATTCTTTTTGATGGCTGAAGAATACTCCATTGTGTGTGTGTGTGTATATATATATATATATATATACATACCACCTCTTCTTTATCCACTCATTAGTCTATAGACATTGGGGCTCTCTAAATAATTTGGCTATTGTTGATAATGCTGCTATAAACATAGGGGTGCATGTACCCCTTCGAATCTGTATTTTTGTATCTTTTGGATAAATACCTAGGAGTGCAGTTGCTGGAGCATAGAGTAGGTCTATTTTTAACTTTTTGAGGAACCTCCATACTGTTCTCCAGAATGGCTGCACCACTTTGCATTCCCACCAACAGGGCAAGAGGGTCCCCTTTTCTCTGCATCCTCACCAACACCTGTTATTTCTTGTGTTATTAATTTTAGCCATTCTGATGGGTATGAGGTGGTATCTCATCGTGGTTTTGATTTGTACTTCCCTGATGATGACTGATGTTGAGCATCTTTTCCTGTGTCTGTTAGCCATCTGGATGTCTTCTTTGGAAAAGTGTCTATTCATGTCTTCTGCCCATTTCTTATCCAGTTCCCTTTTAACTGCAACAAAATTTAGGAACTAACCCACTGGTATTAAAAATTACCTGATTTCTACCCTTTATCCTGAACGATTTTCAATGTTTGGCAAAAGTTGTTGGATAGTTTTATCATCACCCAATTCTAAGAGGGGTAATATTCTAGATAAAATTCTAATTGAAAGAGCACAAACAGAAAAGGAGAATAAAAATGATATGACCACAGCAGATCGCTATGTTCTTAAAGATATGGGAAATGTATTTTGCTGGACTTATAAAGACTCAGGTCTTTTCTGATAAAAATAAAAAGAGTTAGAATAGCATTTACTTCTCAGTTCTCAATCTTCTAAAATCTCCTTTGGAAAT